ACCCCGAGCTACAGTTTCGTAGCCATTAGAAATGGCTACTTGCCACGCCAAGTTTTGGGACTCTGAGGGCGATATGCATTGAGTTCAGCGCATAGGAGTGAAAATAATGACCTAACGCAAGGTTTCCTTTCTTACAAAGGCAGGAAACATGGAGGGCTGTAGTTAGAGGTGCCTTGCAATACATACGTAGCCGATCACAAGTCCAAGGCCCACCTACATCTATTCGTCCGAGGTTGCTTAATTGGTACCAGAGTTGTCTGGGAGGATAGCAGCACGGACTTGATACAACGGTGCGCCACCGCAAGTCAGAAGTCGACGGCATGGCGCATCTCTCAAAGTTTGATCACGACCAAGAAGCTTTAATCTTGATCTCTGCCTTTCTCATCTCAAGCGAGTAAATTCGCCATTAAACACCAAAGCCAATGAAATATGTGGTGGAACTCGTACAATGTATGGTGTGGAGTCGTGCACTCAAATGAATTAGTGCATTGAATACACTGCTGAACAATCAGTGCTGTCGGATTCCTTGCTTGCCATTACAGGATTACCTGTATTTCCGACGTAACGTCAGAATTACCTTCATAGTGTATTTCGTTTCATCGATGAGCTAACACGAGATTACTACCAAATATTTATTCGGTTAACGTTCCAACCTCTTCGTCTTCCTCAGAGCCGATGATCAGAGTCGAAACGAAGTCTGAAGTCGGTTAATCGGCCCCGAAGAAGACGAAGAGATCGAATCGTTAGCCGAATAAATATTTGGTAACAACCTCGTCTTAGCTTATTAATGAAACAAGTTACATTAACCATTTATGCCTAGAGAACAGAAGCGTCCTTAAATGGATAGGGCATTTCTGTTCGGAAGTCTCACGGAAACAATCCTTGGCCATGGCAATGGCAAGCGAGCAACCAGCATCTATGTTTTGTTAAGAGTGTTAAAAAAAGGCTCTCACCCAAAAAGTTGGTTCTGGTCATGGCCTTTTAGATAAAGAAAAGGCTTTAGAATTTAGTTATATGACTGTCATGAATGAGGATTTCATCGGTACGGCCTCGAGAAGCTCAAGGATTCTGGATTAAAACTGCATTCTGAGTGACATCAATTCCTTTTCGATTTTAAATATTTACTGATCGATTATCTACATGTTCCTGGAATAATTGCAAACGACGTACTCACCTTATAAATTCTTATACAAAATTATGTACTCATATTCTATTCTGTCATAAACATAGGATAAAAAGGATAAAGCTCCGGGCTTTGATCAATCCCTTAGGGATGCGCTATACATTCGACTTCATTAAGCACTGTTGTAGGTGAACGAATGCGTATCTAGCCCACACAATGACTTGCGGTGACTTACCGTTTTGTCAAGTTAGTGCTGTTATCATTCTAGACAAGCCTGGTGCCAATTTGCCTATCCCGGGGTGTTGGGAGGGGACTTGGTGGGTCTGGGTGCGGGATCGAGCTCGTGTGTACTGCAGGGCACCTCCAACCACCGCACTGCACGCACCCTGTCACAGGCAGCGCCACATAGTTTTCGATCATCGATTTTTTGGCAACCACATGTTCGCTCGCGGATAGTTCTTGGAACGCAATCATCCAATCGATATCAACTCGTACCTCACCGAAGGTGTCGGTGTTCGGCGATTACAATTACTAGTTTTCATCATCTCATGTGTTTTTAAAATTCTTTCTGCTTATACGTCTTCATCGTACTTGTTATAGTCTTTTGTATGTAAGGATTCTTTAAAACTTTTTTTGTGCATTTTTTATTCTGTAATTTCTCAATTGTTCGTCGTTTCAACAACAGCAGTACCGTATACTCACATTACAATCAGGTTACAGTCATTTTCGACGCCTTCTGTTCCAAAATGTCTGCTAAAATCTTCTGTTATGTTCTTGAAACAGTCGTTACTTTGACCTCGGTGATCCCAAACACCAGAAACGAGTGGTGTTGGTTGTGATCAATTTCTTGGTTAAATGAGAAATTCTCTTTTTAGAAGATCGTTTCCAGATTTCTGGACTGTTCAAAAGAGCATTGCCATTCCCGGTTAGCTTTCTGTTCCAGAGTCGTTTGATCTGCCCGAAGAAAAAGACACTGAGCAAACAACTGCTGACCATTCTTATCAAAAATTGGGCCATCAACTACCCGCCAGCAATGCCTACTATCGTTTGAATTCTGCGGGCATTTGTGAATCCGAGTTTACGATCCCTTTATGGAACTTACTTTATTTCTGGTCCTAGGATCAATTCTTACGTAGGGATTGTTCTTCAGGTTCTTGAAGAGCCTCATCTTGAAAGTTTGTCACCGTAAATAATAAAAATGATCCAGTTTCTGGTCAGACTGCTGGGAAATCATGCTGTGTTTCAAAATAGGAGATGATGCCCAAGTCATCCTACGTTATTTCTTTTTTTATTGGACATTTTGCTGTATTGAAAGTCGGTTTCGAAATTTTACTACGCGTTATGCTAGCTGATAACAACACCGACTTCTGCACGATGTGCGCAATGATGTATGTCCGGAAGAAAAACAAGTTGTTATCACCGGACATTATCATTATATCCACCATCAGCATCGTGTATGAAAGGGCATCATTGAGCAAGGATGCCTCATTCGAGGAGATGGCTCACTAAAGAAGACCTGACTCGACACGAAGGCGAAGCTGCCACGTCGAGACGAACAACAAGCGAGGACCATCGACTCGGATCATCGGCTCTGAGGAAGACGAAGACGTCGAAACGTTAGCCGAAAATAAACATCATTATCAACCTCGTGTAAGCTCATCAAAGAAAGAATACATTTTGCTGTATATTTTCTTTCTTGAGTCTCGTACTGGGAAACAATGAGCCATTGCTTCCCCACTGTCTCTGTGACCCACTTGTCAATCGTATGTACACCATTAACACAAGTGAGTCAAATATGACTCACAACAGACCAAAGCCAAATTTTTAGAAACAGTTAAATATTATGATTGGTTAAAAATAGAGCTTTACAGCACTCAGCGTGGGTGAGTACCGTATAGATGCGTATGCATTCGACTCCATTCAGTATGGTAGGATGGTTGAATGCATATTTTGCCTTGTAGAATAACCTGCAGTGGCCTTACTAATGTATCACGTGAGTACTTCTACCCACAGAGTGGAGTCTGGTACCAATTTTCCGACACCGGAAGGGTTAGTAAACCTGATGTGCGCGTGATCGAACCAATGACTACATGTGCATTGCATGGCATCGTTAACCACCTCACCAAATTTGGCGTATTATAATGAACACCTAGCCGGCAAAAATAGACCAAATACCCCGCTAGGCACGCATAGGACCCAGAGACATAACGGGGACGACTTCGAAGTATGTGTCACGATCCTCGCACGCGAATCAAGAACACAGGCGCGAAAAACTCTCGAGGCACTCTGGATTAATTCCAGAAATCCGAAAATGAACCGCAGGGAAGAATGCCTCATTATCACGCGTGATATAGGGCAGTATATAAAACTGCTTTTCTGATGTGAGGGGCACATTATACTTCCACGTGATTTCTGTGCGGTTGGTCTCTACGTGACATACTTAGTGGAAACCTCATAGAAAGCGGTGAGTGTGCAAAGCTGTGTTCAAAGTGATTGAAATCTTGGTTTGGAGTTTCTTTGTTTGGTTATGGAGCCGTCTGGCCGAGTGAGTTGCTATCAACTTGACCTTTCCAGGCTCTGAAGAAGGCGCCGAAACGTCAGCTTAATCGTGAAGAAAGAATAGTAACACCTCGCGTTTGCTCAACAAAAATACGAAGTATTATAATGTTTTTACTTGTTAGTATATAACCCAATGTATAGGAGACGGGTAGCACAGTGGCCGGGAAGCTGACCACTACGAAAACGGTGCAAGTTCGAATCCATCCGAGCTCTCCAAGCTTCTCATCCCTCCGAGGTAGGGAAATCGGTACCAGACTTGTTTGGGGACAATTTTATTCCCTCTGATCCTCTTGGGAATACCGTAGAAAGGCTATCCAGGATTCCAGAGAGAATCTACTAGACTGGTATTCATTAATTCATAAGGGAGGTGGAAATCACCAAGCAGCATTCGCGACGACGGGGGAAACTTCGAAGAGATGATGGATGCAAAGAAACGAATCAAATCCGAGAAAAGCTGAAATCCTTACAATACGATATGTGATGTCGAGTCATGCTTTTGCATGTTAGAGTGATATGTTGCACTTTAGTAAACCTATTCATTTCCAATCTTTGTTTTTCTATCAAAACTGGTGTTGAAGATTCCTTGTGTGTTACAGTTTAAGATCGACGTGCCTAACTAGCTCAGTTACATGCAGTGTCCCCTAGCATTCTTTCGCTCCCTTTCCTGTTTTTCTTTCTATTCTATCATTCACATGCTCATTGCTTCTGTTAATTCAGCTCTTTCTTTTTGTACTGTACCACTTTCTCGATCTAAACACTTGTTTCTCTCAATATCATTTGGTCATTTCCACTGTCCTCATTTACTTTCATCGTTTTTCTTTAATTTCATTCCAGATTGCGAGATAGAAGAGGAGTGCAGACAGTATCTTTCCTTCTATTTTCTACCTTCCATCCTTCCTGGAAGTAATTCCATCAATCATAGCCTTTATCTTTTCGTACCTCTTTGTACATTATAGTTCCCAGAATAGTTTCCACTAGCACGTGTAGCGTGGTGATTACAGGTGAGCCAGCGATACACATGAGGTCGTCAATTCAATCCTGCGCTTAGCTAACCCCTCAATCCTTCTTGGGTCAACAAATTGACACCATACTCCTCTGCTGGCTAAAGATACAAGTTCGATGCATCGGTAGGCCTACGCAAGCAATTGTATAGGCCAAATGTGCAATCAATCAGTACTACGTTCTTGGTGAACTCAGATGCACGTTGAATCCGTAAGGAATTGATCAACGTTGAACGTCAGACACAAACATATTAAGGTAGCGATAATGGTACAAAACTCTATGTGGGATGTAAAATGAAACAGCGATGCAGAATAATATGTGGAATACGTTGTACATGTTGGGCGTGGAAGTGGATGTTGTAGGTGATCAGGGCGCAGACGATTTACCTCTATCAAAAGGCTCACGACCTCCTGGCACGGCTCTCTCGGGTTAATAGGGGAAAATTTATTAAGAAAAAGAAAAAATAGGAAAAAGAGAAATTTGAATAGGAAAATTTAACGGACCACCAGATTCTGTTCTATCCATAATGAACGACGGATGGCGTCGGTAACGGAACAAACTCCTTCACGACACCCCGTGGAGTATATCGTGTTCTGACTGTACCACTAGAACATTCCTACTGATTTTCATCCTTTCGTTGAGGCTGTGAGTCATTTATTCCATATTATGGCCTGGAGTAAGTTCCATATTATCGCCTGCAGGAAAATAATAACCAAAAAATGTTAACAGACAGAAGGTGAAATGCTTATTATCCGTGTAGTGAGGGTCCTGTTAAGAAATGTTGATAGTGCCGCTTTTGTTGTTTCAAGAACCGCTGCCACAAGATTGTTTTCTTTTTTATTATCTTTCCTTCTTTTCTTTTTGGGAGTGTGACCCTTGTATTATTCTTCTTTTTTCTTCTTTTTATGGAGATAACCCTTTCACCAAATATGTAGATGAAATTCACCTGTAGTCTTAACAACATAGAATGACAGGTCTTCAGCTTAAACTATTTGATTTTTCTTCGTCGTAAAAAGAGATGTCAACGATTTCATGCTTTTGTTGTATCTGGTGTTGTTATGATACCGGAATATCAGTACGAAGCAGAAACCTCTTTTGTAAATTTTGTTATTTTTTTAGAAAAGGTTGTGTCTACGAAAGTACTTCATTCGTGAAATATTGCACTCCATTCGATTTGACTCGAATCGACTACGACCTTTGGGCAAAGAATAACTACTATGGGCTTCTGAGTTGAATCGTGCGGCTTCGAAACGTTAACCACAATAAACAGTTTTTACTACAGCATCATATACTTGGATGACCCATCTTCACTGATTGTGCGGCCCCACCATAATTTTCATTTTTTCGGAATTTTGCTGGTTTAGCTACTGTGGTTTCCTTAAGTGCCGAGGTTCACCTAGCTGAAGCCATCGTCACCACCTCAGGCAGTCGCCGCCCTTGTGGATCAGAGAGAAATTTCCTGCCATGCGACTTGTTTGATATCAGGACGGTGGTGCTTCCTGGTACTAGTTTCGTAAACCTCGTATAAACCTATGAATACAAAAAAATTGCAGCTGAATTATTGTTCACTCCCTCTCTCTCTCTCTCGCTCTCTCTATGAGCTCCAACAGCATCCAAACCTTTAACGTTTGTTGCTTCTTCATCAAAAGTAACTACCCATCTTTCAGAGTATCGTAGAAGCTCATTTCCATAGGTCACAATTCGTTCCTTTTCTTCAAGGGTCCATTAAAAACATCGAAAAGTTCATGTTCATAGCTTATTCATGCAGTATATGCTTTCGTATTTGCAGACGTATAATTAATATGTCCTTAACAGAAACAGAAATTTTGGTCAGTGAAACGTCAAGAATCTGTATCGACGATGTGGTTGGGTGTCGGCTTGAATGTGGTATCCTATTTCTCTCTTGATAGGCGACTTTGAAAGCGTTGACAAAAGCGTGTATTGGAGATGTCAACTGTTTATCTTTAGGAGACGACCCATCGACAAGTAGTGTTATTATCGAGAACTTTCCATTGGTTAAAAATCGACGAGTTTATCAGCAGCTTCGCGTTCTGTTATCTTCCAAAGACGATGGGCTGCGATTCTTTCAGAAACTCAGTGGCAGAATTAAAAGGAAATTGGCTCGTACGTGAAAAATTTCTTCGTTTGTGATTTTAGTAACTCGAAAACAGGTATTTCAAAATGGGATATAGAGCATGGAAAACACGCTAATTGAGTATCGATTACTTGTTGGTCTTAGTCGGTTACTGATAGTAGAGTTACTCGTTAAGCTCTTTCCATTTAGGAAGGTTGCGATTAAAAATAAAAGCACATCGATAATATACTGAAGACCTGGTGTATGTTTCTTCGTGAACTTAAAACGCAGAAGCTGAAATGAATGATCGATGTATTCAGAATCTGAAAAGTGTAAAAGGCGCCCTGCTCCTTTGGAGATGCTTCATGCATTCAATTCCATTCGTAACAATGTAAAGATAATTGAATCCATATTCAGACTATAAAGTGATTTGCAGCTACCCAACGATGTATCAATTCAGCGTTTCTTATCTTATACTCTAGTCGGGTACCAATTTGCTGGCCCTAGAAGGACGGTGATGTAGCCTAATGTGAGGCGCATTATCTATCGAACCACGACCCCGTGCGTATTACGAGGAGCTCTCACCACAACACTAAAAAATAACATGTGACGGCCAGATAGCTTCTTTTGAGACACAACGGGAAAAAATGTGAACATGGACAATTTTTAGCTCATCTACTACAAAAAGTACCAACCAATCGTGTGCTTCTATTGATCAACCCGTTCAGTGGGCAACAACGTGCGAAAAGTTTATGGTCGAGGTATGGTGCACATGTGATGCAAGCTGCAGGAATTCAAGTCGATGTTATTAATACTGGTGGGTAGGATTACTTTTAGAAAAATTGTAAAAATTGTAGATAGTTGTTAATGTAGCACTTTTAGAGTATACCAAGCATGCCACGAAGATTACACAGAAATTGGATATTGATCTTTACGATGCGATTTTAGTGAACAGTGGTGATGGATTGGTGGCAGAGGTATCTTTAACAAAGATAAGTAATAGACAAACTTGCGTTCAGTGAGCAATGGAGGCTTTGATTGTTGGTTCTAGCAGCGCTGATGTTAGACCTAATGTATTGAAAGGTTTTCCTATTTGTCCAACAATATGCAGCAACGGTTTTGTTGAGCAGTTCTTCACTGGGAAGAGGTCGAACACTTCCATGTCTAAGGGCGGCTTTTAGTTTAGTTATTTTAGCTCTCACGAAAGGAAAACAATTACAAAACTAGGAATTACAAGTGAAAATAAGAAGTTAAACGTCGTGATTTCGGCTGCAACTTCAGCTTAATTGGGTTCAATCGCGATTTATGCTTTCAGATCATTCCCGTTAGGCCGTTAGTAGGTGATTGCTGATACTACCATTGGGGTAGAAAACTAACTAGAAGGTAAACCAAGGGCTTGACGGTGGAGTGGGTACTACGTGGGACCACAGAAGATGGAATCGTGGTTTGATCTGGCCTGGGGTCGAAGTTTTGCAAATATCTTAGCATCATAGTGGCTGTTTTTCACATAGTAGCCTGTCATGAAAATAAATGAGAAATAAGAAAAATAAGATAAAAAGTCAGAAATTGCAAGGCTATCGAATATCCGATCAGCGACTGCTTCAGCTGAGCAAAGAACAGCATTGAACATTTTGAGAGACAACTGTGACCGTGGTGATTACTAATGGTTTACCTAAGTTTTGTTTTGAAAATATCGGACAACTCAGTTTTGAGGTGTCATGCTTGTAAAAGAACACCTGCTATACATCGCAGTTGAGCACAGAAGAACAACGCACAGTGATCAAAACAAACTCGATAAACCGACGCAGAAACCTTTATGAATCGAAAGATGCTGCCGTGCAGATGGAGTTTGCTGGAGACTGTACGATTCTTCTTGAGGGCAAATATCCGTATATACAAGTGGAAGTCTCGAACCACGCGCTGAGCGTCAAATTGAGATTTAATGTTAAAATCCTCTATTCATAGCATGTCTTTAAATGACCCAAGAGCATTTAGTTGTAGCGGATTTGCTGAGTTAGCAAACCTCTCTAAAATGTTTTCAGGCAATTTGTGGACTGCTAATGAGAAAAGACCGCGACAGAGCGCTTAAATTTCCCATCTGCCACATTCCGGGTGGTACAAGCAATGCACTTGCGGCTGCAATATGCTACGCTTGCAAGTAAAGTCATTTTTTTAGATTTACCATTTAGACTATTGGAAAAGAAATCAACAAATTCAGTGAGCCGTTTTCTACACGAGATGTTTTCGTTACCGAATCCTGTCTAATGGTAACTCGTCCGCGTTATATTCCCCTTCGACTTTACACAGTCGACACACAATATGATGGTATTAAACCGATGTTCATGAGCGCCACGTGGGGGTTAATCGCAGACATTGGTGAATTTTTAGCACGTAAGCACTTATGATCGAGATTTGTTTAAGTCTATTAGGTTGTTCTTTCAATCCAGGAGGTGATATGATTTGGGCAAGTTTTCAGCGTTCGCAGAGCAGCTGCTCTTGGTAGGTCGGAGTTCTTCGTCGTGTTTCAAGCAATATGTGCATCAGTGTCGTTGACGATCCCCGATCATATTTTGTCTGAAGAGAGAGTTTTATGGCAAATGAATTCGAGTGTAAAACTCCAAAACTCCATCCCTAGAGTGGCAGAATACACTTAATTGTTCTCAACACCAAGCAATAAAGAAGTGGTAAAAGACAGCTTCAGAAAGAGCACCTTCAATATCCGAAGGCTGGCGAATGCGTGTGTTAAAGATCTGAGAGTGATCTGGCACGGCTCTCACAGGACTTTTAGAGAATCGACCCGAGCAGCGAGGATGGCAGTCAAAAGACAAGTAGCAGCCGAACAGAGGCCCAAAATACTAAGACCTTCATGGAATATGGATGCGAGGAAAAGCATCGAATACCGGAAGTGCTGGGATCATTATGTAATGTGGGATCCTGTAATTAGATGAGGCAATAAAGAAGAATATAGGAAGGGTAGGGTCTAGTCTTTTTTTCTATGGGACTGAGAAGTTTAGACGCGGTGGTTAGAGGCAATGAAGTGGTAGTCGTTCGCTCGATGCCATGCCTTGAGCACAGCAAGCCTCCTATCGCTCCGAGGTCGACAAATTAATATACTAGACTTTTTTAGGAAAATAAAGAACACTAATTTGATAGATCGGTAGACCACAGGAAGTCATTGGCGACATTTCTCAAAGATTGGTCAACGCGGAAAATTCTACGTTTGATCCTCTATAATTCAGCGAGAAAGGAGCGTTATCGATAATTAAAGCGATGACTCGAATGATGGTCGTTCTGGCGACTTTGCACGTATCTTGCAATTGGGGCTTATGAAAAAAAAATGGGGAACGTATTCCAATAACCAATGAAGCGTCTGCTCAGTTAGCAAGGAGTTCACCTCCTCTTATTCGACAGCCGTACTCTTCAAAGTTCTAAATCATTTCAATGGGAGTGAATCCAGTGTTCGACTGATTGCCATTTTCTTCTATAGTCAGGAAATTCGTCCAAGTTCACACCACTTCCTGGATCTGACGGTCACGTGTTTTCTTAATGGTCGAGTGGCAATCATTTCATTCATGGATTTATCGCATTTCATCGTTAGGTGTCTGAAAAAGTTATTGCTAGTAGTGTTTATGAAATTCTTAGCCATTTAGGTGTTTTGAACGATAACTAATGAGATTTTTTCTAGAATAGCTATGATTGTAAGGATAACCAGATTTCAGATCTAGGAAGTGAGCGTTTTCGTTGGGCTGGTATGATTCGGTTACACATGGAAGCCTTTCTTCGAATCCTCCGTGAGATTATATCCTTTTATTAATCACTATAGTTTGTCTTCACTAGTTGTATATCATTAATATATAATGCCCTGGTTTTCAACAACTAAAAATAGTTTATAATCACATTAGTAAGTTGAGAACTTTGTAAATTTTACACGGAGCTCAGGGGAAAGGGGGTAGCACAGTAGTTAGTGATGCAGTCCATCGAAGCAAGATGTTGGTTCGATCCCCCACCAAACGCTCCCCTTCATTCGCATTGGAATGGCATAACTCGGCTATTACTACGATTGCAAGAAGATTGATCCACCAGAATTCTACGACATACATAAAGAAAACGAAATCCTCAAGCAGGAATCGAAAGAACACGCGAAATGTCCGGAGACATGTGTGGGCGATGAATGCGAGCAGAAGGAATTGAATTCAATAAGTGCTGGGATCCGCACAGTACAAATGATGACGGGTCATGCTTTAAAAAAGGGTTTTTATTTCGATTAATAAAGTTCATCATGGGCTAGGATTTGTTGATTTGAACACGAAAGCAGCTCCTATTTTCTTACTAAATAGGTTGTTTCCAATGCATTTATGGCATTGACGTGTTGAGCAACGCTTTGTATTAACGAAAGGCGCTATTATAACAACTCGTATACGAGTGCTTGTATGAGTGATTCCATCCACCATCATTGTCCATTTACGACTATATGAGTTATATATCACTCATATTTGGCAAACAGCAATTAAGTTTTTCGAATTTACGCAAACACATTTCAACTAAAATGACGCTGACATACGATGTGCTGATAAACTCGGAACCCCAGGTGCGCTTCAAACCCGCGAGTATCGTTGCTGTGGATTCACGTGTTATCCACTGCGGGAACCAAGACACCTGCTTTCCCTTTCAATCCGCCATTTTTTACCCTAACGATGTGACAAACGATAGGCAGTAAACAAAAAATGTTATGATTTCGATTGCAGCTTCAGCTTAACTGTGGGTACAATGGCAATCTGTGCTGTCCAGATCATACTAGTTGATGGGTGACAGCTGATGGCACCATTAAGGTAAAGAACTGGCTGAGAGAAAAGCAAAGCAAAGGCCTCTCTTGATACAGTGGATAAGACTCGAGTCTCGGAAAGGCGTATCGCGGCTTTGAAGTGCACCCGAAGTTCTGTGCGCTGCCATGAAAAAGAAAAAAGAATACGCAGTAATGAAGGCCAAAATATGTCTCAGTTCATAGCAAGCTTTGTCGAGTAGAAGGAAAATCATTGTCTTATAGAGATCTTGTCATATGTAGACTTAATTATTCTACCACGATGGAATTCTAATTTTCTGGAGCTCAAAATTCTTTTTTTTTTTGCTGTTTTTGGTCGAAGCTTGTATTTTGGACAGCAAAACGATTGGACAAGAAGGACTCCTTTCAATAAGACGGGTTGGTGTACCCGAATGTTTCTTGAATTCGGGTGGTTGTCACGACTATTTTAAAAGTTTTGAAAAACGCTTGTCTCACTGCCAACTTTAAATGAATTTTAAGCTAATTTTAAGTTAAAGTATTTCAAAAGAGTCATGCGTTCTTATTTAGCGAGAGCGATCCTCCATGAAGTTTTTGTTAATTGAGGATCCGCCAGCCGACTGGTAGTGAAGTTAGACGGCGCTTTACACCGGCGGCGGATAGGAACTTACTATTGAACCAAGGGCGACTTATCCCCAGAAAGATGGGATTCTTGAGATGCACTACTCATTTCTGATCTGCAGTATTAACATTTGCCATATTGTTCATGGACAGAGTGCGTGCAAGTTGGAGGTGCTTCGCAGTAAACCCTATTCTCCTCAATTCGACACTGCTCGGATCAACCAGCATTTCCACTGATCTATCTGCACACGACAAAATAGATTTATTCGCTGCTTATAGTGTATGTCCGGAAACGCTTAGCAGAGCTGTCCTGGAATTTCAGTGAAGATCACACTCTATCTGTAATCCTAAAAGAGAAATATTATGCTCTCTGAGTTTCTGGATGTTCGAATCACTCGACGATTAAGGGGAAAATGATTCAGGTGTTATCCTTGGATCACTTGCGCAGTTTCTGCTCTATGGCTTTACTGACTTTCCAGCTCTGGTTGTAAAGAATTTAACGAAAATTGTTGGAAAACCAGTGCACGATCGTAAATGTATTGAAGACAACCTAGTGAGCACAGCAAAGCCTTTTCATCTTGTCGTGTAAATATTTTGGATAAAGGAATCCTTCACATTTTCTCAAATGCCTGTAGAGAATTACTTCAGAGCTTCCCACCGTCGCCGCATATAGAGCTCGGATATCATATATTCCTGTTAACTGCAAAAGGACCTCGAGGAATACAATGTTGAAATTCTGCTGTAATCGAAGTAGATTTGGCCATGGTCATTTTGAGTTCGATTGCATTGATCAGGTGAAATTTGAACGGCTAAACTGAGGAATGTTTCTTGATGTGTCGATTTTTCACTAGTTAGTGGTTTTCTTTTATAGGCATGTGATCTAGAGCCGCTAGAGAGGACAAAGAGCAAAGAAATTTTTTCATCGATGAAAGAGGCTTTAGATGGTACGTCGATCGTGGATATCCCTTCTCTAGATCAACCATTAGGGAAGAATTGGAAGACAGTAGATGGAAATTGGGTGATGGCTAACGTGTCAACATTAAGTCATTTAGGTACGTTATAAGCTGACAGTTATTCCGATGTTTCAGCACAATTTATGGAATGATAATACACTTTACCTTGCCCTTATGATTTCATTTTCTTTTCTCAAAATATCATTCAAATGATGTTTTCAAGGATCGGACATACCATTCCTGCCGTCTACACGTTTAGATGAATCAACCATGTACCTGACTCTAATCGACTGGAATACAATAAAGAGCCGGCTACACATAGCCCATCTCTTCATTTTTATGGAAAGCAGTAAACATCTTGACCATCCGTGTTTTCAGGTTGATTAGAAAGATTAGAAGCTACGTATGTAATAGATGTTAGGTGCAACACTCACTATTTTAAGGTTATTCCGGTCAAAGCTGTAAGAATCGAACCGCAGGCAGGCGAAGGTTATTTTGCCATAGATGGGGAACCTTGTCGATCGGGATCGTCTTTTCAGGTTTTCTTTCCACATTTCTCTACTGTTTATGATTTTGTAATGTTTCTGCACCAATTAGTGCTGAATACATATTTCTTAACAGGTTCCGACTTGTTGATCAAAATCAATGCCAATTCTTACATGAAAGGTTTTAGGTGGTACCAAGCAAATACAGCGCTACTGTGATTGGTCGGAAAGAAGTGGTCAGAAGAAATTAGTCTCTATTCTCCTTTTTTTGCTCAAAATCTTGTTGTTTTTGTTTTTGTTTTGTTTTTTAGGTTCCTCTCTAACAATGTCTGAGAGAGAAAATGACATGTCTTTTTGGTTTGACCACTAATTTTTTGGGATATTTCCAGTTCTACATGCACTGTAAATCTTCTATAATTTACTGTACATTTTTGTACGACTCATAATATTGTGATGAGCGAAAAAGCCAGCTGTTTTACTTTCTTGATTCGAATATTCCCACCCTTTTGTATTACTAAAATCTTTCTATAGAGTAGTGTTTTATGAAGATCTGTCCTCGAGTCCAAGGGAAAGTGGGGAATATCGTAACCTTCCTGGGAAATTTCAATACATTGTCAGATCGCTTTCACGATTTGTAAGCTACAATTCAATTCTATTCGTTTCGTTTAGTTAAACTCGTTGTCTATGCGATAGTATCGAAAAAACTGATTTCTCAACCTTAATTTCGAAGTGTGAGTACTGATGGCTAAAGACTCGGTCAAGCCATGTCGCCCTTCATCTAGGTAGCGTCCAAGGCGTTTGAATTCTAAAGTAGTGTACCTCACAACTCTTTTCATTCCCGAAAGACCGACTTTCTATAAACCTCGGCATAGATAGTTGATATATTTATTCATGTGATCTTGTAAACTGATCTTCTTAAGCTGACGCGAGGTTGGTACAGATCTTCGTTGTCGTTGTCGTTGTTTTTGATGTTATTGATCGATGGCTGACGTTTCGGCGATTTAGCCTTCCTCAGAGCCGTGATGTTACGTGCGGGACTCGGACAGACGTGCAAAACAACGACAACGACAACGAAGATCTGTACCAACCTCGCGTCAGCTTAAGAAGATCAGTTTATAAGATCACATAAATAAATATATCTTTTCATTCTTTTCCCTTCATCCCTCTCTCGTAAGCACGTCGATTATTGGCGCTGTTTTTTATCCTCATTGGTATGCCCAGCAACATTTTTTGATGAGTAAATTGCTTCACCGAGGTTTACCTGAGCTAGTTTTGGTAGAGCGGTGGTAGTTTGCTTTTTTTTCATCATTGGAACTCAATGGATCATTTCATTCTTCCACAAGCGTTTCGGTGATGCGTGGAAATCTTATATAAGCGAAGCAAAGTGCTGGTCTTCAACTGAGTAGGGACCTTGCATTGAGACAGATAACTTGTGAACGGCCGAGCCAGTGTGTTTACGAAGACTGGCGCAGGGTCCTTCAGCTGTTCTGGTCTTATCCTGTCCGACCCTGATGCTGTTCGCTTTTTCACCGACGAAATGGCATATTGGATTTCGGAAGGGAGAACCGGTGGTACAACGTATCCACCCTCCTTTATTTCATAAGAGGGAAGAAGGACATGGCTATTGAAGAGATCTGAGTAGTATTCGTGAATGATTTTCTCTATTGCTTTTCTGGGCGCGGTAACTGTTCTGTATGAGTGTCGAAGTGCAATCATATTGGTTTTGTAACTGGCGAAGTCTCGGTGGACTTTGCGAAATATATCAGCATTGTATTTGAAAATGTACACGAAGTGCTCGTGATATCTTCTCAAAATAATCGTTACCGCGACTTTTGCGATCGGAGCATCAGAGACTAATGGTAATAGTAATTGTCGATTCTTAAACAGGAGGCAAAATCTCCTTCCTCGAAGATCTTTCTTGGATTCTTCGCAAAGGACACTGCTTGTCATTTGACCTGCCCTCACTATCCCTCATAGAAAACCGTACCTCATAGCTGTGCTCAACATGCGTTGAATTAAATGCACTTGCTGCGGGCGATAACAACTGCTTTCAAATATAGTGATAAAAGTATAAATGCATTGAGAACATGTGTTTAACTGCCACGACCGACTTTCTATTAACCTCGGTATTGATCAAGTGATTTTCTTCGTATTTTTGTTGAGCAAACGCGAGGTGTTACTATTCTTTGTTCACGATTAAGCTGACGTTTCGGCGAATTTCGCCTTCTTCAGAGCCTGGAAAGGTCAAGTTGACAGCAACTCACTCGGCCAGACGCCTCCATAACCAAACAAAGAAACTC